CGTTGATCATTTTGGTATCTGAGAAGGATTTTCAAAGTTTCGAAGGTGAAATTTGACGTTATCCAATATAAACGCATGCAATCTCGAACAGTAGCGGCGGGGCGGAGGGTATGCAATCGCTCTGATTGCTCTTGTTTATATCTGTAAACAAGAATTTCTTAATTGATAAAAAATATTCAGATCTCCAAACAAGACTTTTTATTCGATATAAATAACCTTACCCGATCAGGGGCGGATCCAGATCTTGGTAAATGGGTGGGTGAGTGTGTTGTTCTTCCGCCAGGTCATGAAACATTTTGAAAAAAAATCGCTTTTTTCATTAGGTCAGAGGATACTTTGTTTGTTACTTCATCGGCAAGTGAGGTTGTAACCCCTCAATACCCTTACCCCCACCTCCCTGGATCCGCTAGTGTCGATTATTTTATTCACATCTGTTAACAAGAATTTCTCATTTGGTAAGAAAAATAATCTTACCCAATCATTTACACTTCTTAGAACAATTTCTTATTCTTTTGTGTTATCAAAAGGTATCACATTATAAGCTTTCTTCAAGATGCTATTTTTTAATACTTTATAATAAGTATTTCTGGCCCTATAGTTCCACGAAAACAAAGATATCTTGACGTCACGACTGCCATACTAACTACAGAGTACGGTGGACCACAGTTGCTTTAAGGTTAGTTTAAAACTACAATGTTCTGGGAATTAAACGGAACAATGATACTATTAAACATATTTATACTTATCACACATGCATTAATAATGCCTGATGTATTTATAATGAATGTTTTACATTTTCATTGCACCAATAACAACAGCTGGTCGCGTTACTTCTGAGAAAATATGAATAATTAACTTTATTACGGCATCTTACTCGTAATTAACAATTTTCCTGTTATTAGTCTTTTTTTTATATAGTTAGCGTAAATGTACAAAGTGAATAATAAGTATACGCTTAGGAAGATAAAAGAGTTTAAAGTTGAAGCGTCAGATTAATTCAAATATTATATACTTATATTTATAACCGTATGTAGTGATGAAGATACAATTATCAATTTTAATAACAAGGGAAATACAAAAAAATATTCTTACAAGAAAAAAATGTATTATAGAATTTTTTTGCGATACATTTTATTATTAAAGAGCAGAGTTAAATCGTTAGGCTACAGCTACAGTAAAATATCACGTTCGTTATTATGATGAAAACCCTACGACAACTCTAAACATCACATGGGAAACTCTTACCAGAAGGAAGCGGAATTGTCGCATTACTTGTGGGAATATCAAGTGGTATTTCTTGTTCTTGTTCCCTGTTTGAAATTTCCTTATCTTTGCTTGCGACCCACGATTGTTCATCCTTATTCATATGTGTCAGATAATCTAAAAAAAAATTGTAATATGTTAGTCCAGTTATCTGAATGTGAACCGAACTAGGTTGTCTATGTTCGGCCTAATAACATCCATTTATTAGATGTAATTTGTGTCGAATATGAAGTCGAAAGTGTTGTATTATGAACACAAGACGTGGTAATGAAGAGTTTTTACTTTCATACATAGATCAGTCTGTTTTACTTTGTAGCTCAACTACTTTAATATACATGTGAATCAAAGTATTCATGGCATCATGGATACAACTGTAACCACAACACAAAAATGACCAGCCTTTTATGAAAGAAAAACAGAACCATCTATTGGTTATTCTTACAAATACCAGTAATATTACCACGAGGCTTATTTTTTTACCATCATCAGAGGAAACGTTTGACTAGGAAGTATATATATCTATTCCGATCATTTCAAAGAAAGTTGCTCAAAGTAACCAATGATGTCCACAGATGAAGGTATTTCTAATTACACTGTTATCACTACACGTGGAAGAATTTGAGTCCACGAACTCCCCAGACATCTGGAATTCAATTGAATGAAGACAGAAACACACTATTTTGTTTTTGATAGCTTATATTTTGTTTGTTTTTTATTAGGATTTTAGTTGCACAAATGTTTAGTACTATAAATGATTATATGTACATGATTTTATTGACTAAAACTATTAAAAGGTCGAATTATGAAATTGCCAGGTTTTATTGTTTTCAATAACACATATGACAGTGTAAAATGAAATTGTTGTTGTTTTTTTTAAAAAAGAGCTGTTTTGTTTTTTCTATACTTTGTGTCTCGGAAGTTGCGCCTTGCGTATGAGAAGCCATACTCTCCAAAATGCCTAGTGTTTTATAATGATGATAATATCCTGCATAGTAACACTGTTAAAAAAACAAAAACATTTTACTGAAGTATGCTAAGCTTTTCTGATATTTTTTTAATTCGTTTACGTACAACAGTATAAGATTAAAAAAAAGTTTAAATAGTTGATAAATTAGGAACTCACACAATAAGTGGATACATGGTTAATTTGTATCGATTTGTGTGTTTATGTTATTTTTTTTCATAGCAAAGTCACGTTAGGTTGTCTTCTTTGTCTACTGAGGAGAATCAGACCACTAATTTTAGTGTTGTGTATCCCTAGACTTACCGCTATCCCACCGGTGGACAATTTGTATCCACGTTTCCAACCTAAACCCTTCTTAGGATATATTAAAAGATCGTTAAAATAAATGTATTTATCCTGAAGAGGGTTTAGGTCCGGAACTTCGAAATGAATGTTTGAATATTCATTTTGTTTGACTACAATTTATAACGTGTGAATAATACTGGCCAAGGAGTTAAAATACTTCAGAAATTATTGTTAAACATCCAACACATTATAATAGTACACAACGAAGCGTGTAGGCTTCCTACGAATTATTCCCATCTACTAACCTAAAGAGTTATTTGGCGTCATGTTTAACATTCGGTATGTGTTTTTCCATAGTGGAGAACATATATATAGTTTCTAATAAGGTATTGTGGTGTTTAACAATATAGAAAGGGCGACGAACTTTTTAAAAGAACACTACTAACTATAGTGGTACAATAATACCGTAAACTTAGGCATGTACATGGAACTACAATTGTTTGATTGTAGTTAAGCGTAAAGCTACACAATGGGTTATCTGTGCTCTGCCCACCACGGGTATCGAAACCTGTAAGTCCGCAGACATCCACTGTATTTGTTTGTTTTTGAATTTCACGCAAAGCTACACGAGGGCTATCTGCGCTAGCCGTCCCTAATTTAGTAGTGTAAGACTAGAGGGAAGGCAGCTAGTCATCACCACCCACCGCCAACTCTTGGGCTACTCTTTTTTACCAACGAATAGTGGGATTAACCGTCACATTATAACGCCCCCACGGCTGAAAGGGCAAGCACGTTTGGTGTGACGGGGATTCGAACCCGCAACCCGCAGATTGCGAGTCGAGCTCCCTGACCACCTGGCCATGCTGGGCCCTGCATCCACTGTGCCAAGTTATGAAACAACAAAGAAACTTAGAGCTAAGACCATATCACAGCTGTCATCGAGCAAAGAATGCAAACATATGATCGTGTGAACAACAGTCCACCATTTAGGACAGTGGTAAATCCAGAACTTATAACTCTAAAATCCGGGGTTCGATACCACGCGGTGAACACAGCATATAACCCAATGTGACTTTCCTCTAAAACAAACAAACAAAGACAAACCAGTGTTAACAACACAAAATTATTAACTTAATCGATTTTGAATAAGTCGTTGTACTAATCTAAATACCAAGATCACTTTCTATGACTTGCTAATAAACTGTATGATATTCACGAGCAGTGAGATTTCTATATAAGAAGAATAGAATAATCTTATTTTTTATCTTATATTTATCATTGAAAAATCCGAATATCAGAATTAGATATGCTTTACAGAGATATGGTTAAGCTACATCCCGAAATATAGATTCCTTTTCTCTATACAAAATGTCGAAGATATATTGCAAGGCCATGTTTCGCATAGAAGCAAAGAGTCATACTTATCGCCTTTATTTGACGTCTATTTGATTATAATTGCATAGTTTATCATTGTTACATTCTAATCGTCTCTCAAAACCTCGCAGGAGATTAAATTGGATCTGATACCAAGAAAGAACAACCACAATAATGATATGCAACACACAACCTAGGCCATTTACACACACACATCCATACAACATACTTAACTAGACGTTCTTGCACAGGGTCTCAGAAAGTTTTGTGTTTCAAGCGTAAATAAAACCAAAATTAAGAGTCACAAATATTTCTATTTCTTGCTTTTGATGTCATGATGTGTTGTAGTCTACAGATTACATAATTCTCATCGTGATTCATGGCATGTGCATGTTTTACTGACGTCACGACAGTACAAATTGCAACGATAAGCGTTCCGTATGTGACGTCATTTTAGTGCCTACTGACCGACTGACAGATAACACACTACTGAAGAGTGGTGCGAGTGGTTAGAGCAGGTGACACCTCCAGG